ATGTCTTATCCTCTCACACAAATAGGAGGCAGAGGTCAGCCTTCGAAACCCCCCCCCCCCCCCCCCCCCCCCCCCAAATCCTCGCCGCATCAGCTAACCCCCTCCCAGCCTTCAACCACGCCCAATCCTCCTCCGCAGAAGCCGAATACGACCGCCTGCGCGCCCTCGCGCGCACCGAGAACGGCAAGAAGCAATCCTGCTTCGACCGCGCCCACCAAGCCTACCAGCGCGGCGACGGCGCAGAAGCGCACGAGCTATCCGAGGAGGGCAAGAGGCATGCGCGGCTGGCGGACCAGTATAACAAGCAAGCGAGCGATTATATCTTCCGGGAGAACAATGCGGTGGGAAGGGTGGATGGGGACACGATTGATCTGCATGGGCAGTTTGTCGAGGAGGCCGAGGATATACTGGAGCAGAGGATTCGATATGCGCAATCTACGGGACAGACGCATTTGCATGTGTATGGAGTCCACTTTGTGTTACTGCTTCCTTGGTCTCACCACCACTTGCTGATGGTATCCTGTGATGCAGAATTGTGGGGAAGGGGAACCACAGCTACAACCACGTCCAAAAGCTCAAACCGCGCGTCGAGCAAGTGTGCCGCGAGCTAGGCTTGCAATACGCGACAGAGGAGAATGCGGGGCGTATATACGTAAACCTCCAGGGAGGTCCAGCGCACATGCCGAACGCGCAGTACGGCAGCGGCTACCAGCACGGCGGCGAAGGAGGATATCCGGGGCAGCAGCAGTACCACGGACAGCAACATCACGGACAGCAGCAACACGGTGGACAGCAACATGGCGGACAGCCTCATGGCGGTCATCAGCAGCAACATGGCCAGAACGACGAGATTGAGCAGGTTGTCAAGAAGGTCTTGCCGAGGTTGCTGAAGAGGCTAGGTTGCTGCACGGTGATGTGAGCAGCTGTCCAAGCATCTGGGCTTTCCTGTTAGCTTCTTGATATCCGGGGTTTTCGTTCTAGCCTTTCTGGAATAAGAAGACGGCGATGGCTTTAAATAAAGCTCCGTCAAGGCTCGGTACGAGTCCGATCTCATTTAGGAGTACCTTTTTCGACGGCACTACTGTACATGGTGTCTGTCCATAACCCACACACTCAAACACATTCACACTTCTATATTGGGGCGATTGCAATACTAATACGCCGTTTCCGATGTAGGACACGAGTCACACGACAAATTAGACGGCGATTGCCTTATCTTAAACTCGTCGAGCCACCAGTTCCAACACGATAAGATCTGTCAGGAGGAAAGTCTACCAAGGGGTTACGATCGAACAGACATGGCTGTACTAGGCACACCTACTGACGTCTTGACTCAGCGCGCTGGTCAAGCCGGTTCCGCTCTACACCCCTCCCGGCATGAGATTCCCGTTGCGCCTAGCTGCAAGCTTTCCACCTCGGATGCCCTGAACGAGTTGAGGAAACGCACCGTCTTGTCAAGAGCAGAGCATGCACCAGCTTCCCCCGTCCTGAGAACCTCTCCAAGCGTCACGGGCCGGACAACGTCGCAGCCCCCCTTTGATCAAGGACTGTCGAAGCGCAAGCCACGACACTCGGGGATTTTAACATTAGTGAAGATCTAAGTGCGTTCTAGTACTATATTTGCAAGAGATCTGCCAGTAGGAGAAGCGACGACGTGGAGCTGTCGAGGCGGTACTCTGTGCGGTTACTGCTGCATTGCTCTGTCAGCGCTGCCAAGCTACCAGCCTGGAATCGGAGATGGATGAGTGGAAGACTATCAATATCTGTCAAATTGTGCCATGTATTCCGTGACGTTCCTGACGCAAATCCGTACAGGATTTTTTACTCTCTGCTTCTTTTGATCCAGCAACCGTCAGGATGCGAGATTCGATGTTAGTGGTGTGGAAACCAGCGATTGAGACACCGAAGAAAAACTCAGGGAGAAATGCACGAAGACAGTCCGACCCCAAGACCCCAAGCTTTTCTGTAAACTGGAAGTTTTTGAAACCGTCTCCCAGTGATCAAGGTACGTGAGCCGGCGTTCCGTAGCAGTGTAATCTACGCACGGCGGCCAACCTCCTGCTCCCCAAAGTAGAGCTCATCACGCAATTGTTCGACTGTACAACTTACTCATTCGACTCTCCGCCTATGCACGCCTTGCACCACGGCTTCCAATTGCCCTTCCTACACCCCATCTAACCCCATACCCCTCTCGATCTTCTTGATAAGCATCTTCTTCAAGAACTGTTCTCTCGCAACGGCTCTGCATTGCTACACCCAGTATCAGCACCACATTCACCACCCACTATCCGTTTACCCACCCCCCACTACTTCCAAACAGAAAGATTCACCCACCTTGACAAACCCCTCAACCCCCACAACCCCCCTATCCAACCCTCTCCCCAAACACACCACCGCATCCGCACACGCCTTCTCCTCCGCCACGAGACTGTACAGCTGATTGCCCACCACATGCCCCGCAACAAGCACCTCATCCACATCCGGCACCTTCCTGTTCCGCGCATCCTCCATCACCCGATCAGCCTCTCTCATCGCCTCTCTCAGTATCTTTTCATTAGACGCCAACGCTGCGTCGAGCTGCTGCAGCTGGGAGAGCTCGGACTGGAGCCGCGAGGTTGCGGCTAGGAGGGCGGAGTGTTGGGCTTGGAGCGCGGGGAGGGCGGAGTTATTCTCTTCTACCGTCCTGCGTATTTGGGAGACGAGGGACGTGGAGAGTGCGGTGAGGAGGGCATCTTTTTCGGGGTTGGGGGGCACGGGGGGGAGGGGGAGGGGAATACTGGGACCGGTTTGTGAGGGCAGGGTCACGTCGAGGGGGGAGGAGAGGAGGTCGGGGATAGGGTGGAGGACTTTGGCTTTAGGTAGCTGCTGTTGTGCGGGTGGTCCGATGTATTGGGGATGTTGGAGTTGGTGGTGGTAGACGGGTTGGGCCGGTTGCTGTGGAATCTGGTTCGCTGGAGGACGGCTAAGTTGGGACGGTGGCCGTAACGGCGCGTATCCCGAGGGTGGTTGAGGCGGGGGCAGGGTGTTTTGATACCGTGGAGCGGAACCTGGTGGCCGCACACCTGGAGGAACAGGGCTGCCCGCACTACTAGGGATCTGAGGGAAGCGTGCAGATGGTGTCTGCGGAGGCGGTAACGGCGGCGGCGGGCGCATCTCAAGGCTGGCTTGTCGCTGTGGCAGGTGTTGCGGTAGTTGTGCTTCGTGCCACCCAGAAGCACTAATTCTTTGACCATGCGGTGTGCCGACGCCAGGCGGCAACGGCGGTACAGGAGGTGGTGCATGCAATCGCTGCTGACCAGGGCCATTTCGGATGCCTGAGGAAGCTTCATGCGGCTTCAAAGGCTTTGGGGGCGGCACTGGAGTTGCCCTTTGAATGGGAGAGCCTGTCTGGGGTGGCCGAACTGAACTGCGCAACTCTTCTGGGGGCGGCGGAACCGGTGGCGCGGCATGCACGGTGCTGGACTGCGGCGCGTATTGCTGTTGTTGATTCTTTGATGCTACCGGTGGCTCCTTTGCGAAGACGCCTTGAAGGATAGTAAGGAAGTCGGATATAGAAGATCTCTACAAGAAAATCAGCAGTCTAGGAGGCGGAGTAGACCCCCCAAGCTCAGAGGCCAGCCCAACTCATGTGCCAGCTTTCCTCATCGAGGGAATCCCGGTGGGAGACGCTCAGTAGGTAGTATTCGTCGCCTCTGCTGAAGTTTATACTCACATCCCAGAATTTCCCCCAATTCGCCAAGTACGGATGATACACCCTCCCATCGCCGCCCACATGATTCTGTCCCGGCCTTACAGCCATGTCCTGAGCCGGGGTCACGTACGCCATCGGCGGCTCATGAGGGTATGCGTGCGGTATCCATAGCGCGATAGGAAAGCGATAGAGGGTGCCTCGGAACTGGACAGGAAGCGTGCCCGTAAGGTGGAGTAGGAGGGCAGAGGAGCCATTTTCGTATGCTGCGAGAGAAGAGGTGTTTCAGTATGAGTTCCGTGGAGTTGGACGACCACGTGTGCCGGCGTGCCGTACTGTAGACCTCTGTTCTGGGGGTGAGGGAAGGGTACTGGGAGAGCGCGTCGGCCGCGTCGGAATATGTGCGGTTCACATCGCGGTATTCCTGCAGCGCCGTGGGTTAGCACGAAGACATAGGATTGCAGTCTGCTAGTTGGAAGCCCTTACGCTGGTGAGGACGCTGTAGAGCCAGTTCAGGACCTTATCAGGCACTACAGACATGATGCTAAGGTTGTTCGGTTGCGGATTACGGCGTGTGCCATACTCACTAGCTCACCCTACCAGACTGATACCATTGACGAAGATATCCAGGCTGCCTTAGGTGACGTCGCTCAAATGGACGGCGGTGATTGTTGAGTTCGCGTCAGGTCTCTGACATCCTTGTGACATTATCATGTTCTGGTTTCACGCAATATGATATTTGAACAGCCACCACAGTCCTATATTTTGGGTCGGCGACGAATGAAGCCAAGTAAAGCATTGACATGAGTCCCGTCAACTCTCGCACCATGACCGCCGCCAAACTAGATAATATACAACATGAGAGTCGTTCGATGCAAAGACCGCTGCCAAAGATCTGCGATAGAAACACAGACCCACAACGCCACGTCGCCAGTTCACCCCCTTTTCGTCTCTCACAGCATTGCGATTGAATGCTCAGTGCATGCCGCTCAATGCTGACTCCACTCAATCGTGTTGAGATCCACGCCCTCCTGCACCAGCTCCCACAACGGGCTCAGTTCCCTCAAGAACGTCACCCGCTCTCTGACAGCCTTGAGCACGTAGTCAATCTCGGCTTCTGAAGTGAAGCGCCCAATGCCAAAGCGGATGCTGCTGTGGGCACTCTCATCGCTGTTGCCAAGCGCTCGGAGGACGTAGCTGGGCTCGAGCGAGGCCGAAGTACATGCGCTACCAGATGACAGCGCAATGTCCTTGAGGGCCATGAGGAGCGATTCGCCCTCGACGTAAGCGAAGGATACATTGACGCAGCCTGGGTAGTGTCTTGTAGGGTCACCGTTTAGCGAGGTGTGCTCCATGGAGAGCAGTCCATCCTTGAGCCGCTCAGAGAGTGCGGTAATGCGCTTCGTGTCATACTGCGAGATTGTTAGCCCAATCCGTCTGCGGTAGCTTGATACGATCAGGCGCAAGCAACTATGTCCATATCATAACCCCTGCTGTGTCACAGCATCGCTCTTGAGGTACGGTCGCCGAAGCAGCCGTAGCTCTCCCCAAGCGCTCAGAAAGCCATGCATGTATAAAGCATATAATCATTCGGACATATAGAGTGTGGGGGGGCAGAATCTCATGCTTACCGGCATCTCTTCCTTGGCAATTCTCGCAGCTTCGCCGAAGCCGATGGCGAGAGGCGGCGCCAAGGTACCGCTCCTCAAGCCTCTTTCCTGGCCGCCTCCACTGATAATCGGGTCAAGTCTGACCCTCGGCCTCCTCCTGACGTAGCAGGCGCCCATGCCCTTCGGTCCGTAGATTTTGTGCGCCGAGATAGACATCAAGTCTATGTTCAGCTTGTTGACGTCGATGGGAATCTTTCCGACGGCTTGGGCGCCATCGGTATGGAAGAAAATTTTCTTCGATCGACACAGTCTTCCGATCTCCTCCACCGGCTGCACCACACCAATCTCGTTGTTGACGGTCATGATGCTGACAAGTGCAGTGTCAGGGCGCATCGCCTTTTCCAATTCTTCCATGTCAATCAGGCCGGTGCTCTGGACCGGAAGATACGTTACATCGAAGCCTTCGTCCTGAAGATGCCGGCAGCTGTCGAGGACGCACTTGTGTTCTGTTTGGCACGTGATGATGTGTCTCTTCTTGCCAGAGCGCTTGAAGAAGCGCGCGACGCCTTTGATGCTCATGTTGTTGCTTTCAGTGGCCCCGCTGGTGAAGATGATTTCCTTTGGGTCGGCACCTATCAGCTCAGCGATATGCGCTCGAGCCTGCTCAACAGCCTTTTCCGTCTCCCAGCCGTATGCATGCGTCCGCGAGTGAGGGTTGCCATATAAGCCCGTATAGAACGGGAGCATGGCATCCAGGACGCGCGGATCCATTGGGGTCGTAGCTTGCATATCGAGGTAGATGGGTCGAGTGCCACCGTCCATTACGGTCGCCTGCTTAAGTATGCCTGTCACCGTCAGCGGGTGCGATGCATGGTTAGAGATCAAAGTAGCCCACCTGCGGCAGGGCTCATCATGGCGTCTGCACCAATTCCTGTCGTCGGCATCTGAACGTCTTCCGGCTTCTTTCCAGTCTCTTGCAGGAATGCTCGCTGGTCGGCCTTGATCGTTGTGTCGACAGTAGCCTGGGCAGGCTTGGTCTCTGATACATAATTGCGTCGTCCATGGCCGCGGAAGGCGAGCGGCGTGGCGACGAGAGAAGAAGGGCGGATTGCGCTGCTCGAAGAGGTCGCGGCTCTCCTGGAGCACGCTCTGAGGGCCTGCCTCGCTGCTGCGGGTGCAATATTGGACATTTCGAAGTTAATGGCGGGATAGGGTTGTGGAGTGAGTGAGGATGCTACTAGTATGAGCAGCGAGAGGCTGCATCTGATAAAATGAGACGAGGCCCATTAGCATTAGCTCATCCGGCAAATACCGAGCTTAGCCCGATGAGATCCCTGCGACTCCTGCGATCCCTGCGATCCCTGCGATCCCTGCGATCCCTGCGACTCCTGCGGCAGCCCATGATACATAACTTAAGTTACCGTTACCGTCAAGAACGCCGTCACATGGAGCACTTGGAATCTGTACAGAGACCGTCGTCGATACACATCTCCGAGCCTTCCGAACACATTCCGGTACGCTGTGAGAGCTCTTCAGGCTTCCATCAACCTGCGCGCTTCCTCCCAGTCACCCTACCCGATTGCGCGGCATAGACGTTTCCGCTAAGCCACATCCTATGACGACGGCCCAAGACAGTGGACTCTCTAAACACTGATCCACCGAGCGCCGAGCGCCGCCAAACGCGGCCGCAAGACTACCTCCACCTCCTCCTCCCCCGATTCTAGCGGAGGCAGCGCCTACAGTACCTCCTTCAAGAGCATTCTGGAATCTGAAGCGAGACGATGAGCTGGAAAGGCTTCCAGAAAAGCGTCGTCAGGTCAGGCTCCGGATTTGCCGTGCGCATCGGCAGAGACGCCCGCTTACTCTATTACAGGGCGCCCCAGACTGTGAAGCAGCGCTTCAACGTTGTGAGTGTCGGCGCACTTCTCTAACCACGCTACATTCAAACGAAGACGCACGGTCAAGGGCGGCGGGGGGAGCTTGGCTGACGGAGAGGGGTTTCGCAGGGCGAGATCACGAAAGATGCGGTCTACATCGATGCGGAAAGACGCTTTCAGGAGCTAGAAACGGAAACGAAGAAACTACACGAAGAGTCACAAAAGTACGCACAGCGCCCGCCGCTCCACGCATTAATGTCCATTAACGCTCGGCAGGTATTTCGAAGCCATCAATGGTTGGTATCCCGACAGGCACGCGCTGTGTATCGCGCCCGTCTCATAGTTCGCAGGCATGCTCACGCATCAGATCGAGTTCTCGAAGGCATGCGCCGAAATATACAAGCCCATCTCCGGGCGAGTCTCGGATCCGGATTCTTTTATCGACGAGGGAAACCCCGAAGGAATCCGTGCTTGCGAGGAGTACGAGGCCATCGTGCGCGATCTGCAAGCGACACTACAACCGGAACTGGAGATGATAGAGAGCCGAGTGATCAAGCCGGCAGACGAGCTGCTCGAAATCATCAAAGTCGTGCGAAAAACGGCGCTCAAGCGAGAACACAAGCAGCTTGACTACGATCGACACAGATTAGCGCTAAAGAAGCTGCAGGATAAGAAAGACAAGACGCTCAAGGATGAGAAGGCATTATACAAGGCCGAGAACGACGTCGAGCAAGCGACGCAGGAGTACAACTACTTCAACGACCTCCTCAAAGACGAGCTACCGAAGCTCTTCGCCCTCGAACGCGAGTTCATCCGGCCGCTATTCCAGTCCTTCTACTACATGCAGCTTAACGTCTTCTACACCCTCCACGAGAAGATGCAAAGCATAGACATCGGCTACTTTGATCTTACTCTTGACATCGAGGCCGCATTCGAGGCCAAGAGAGGGAATATCCAGGAGCAGGTCGAGGCGCTCACTATCACGCACTTCAAAACCACAGGAGGTGTGAGAAAAGGAGTGTCGAAATATGCGCCCAAGGCTATCACAGGTGGTCCCGCGCAAAAAGCAATAACCGCCGGTCCGTCGGCTCGCCGGTCTACCGTTGGATCAGACGATGCGCCGCCACCGTACAGTCCAGGCGGTACTCACGCTGGCCCGTCACACGCCGGTCTCCTCACGCCGGCATCAGGGGTCAGCCGGGCAAACAGCACTGGCAGCTCATGGGGTGCTGCAGCGAAAGCAAAGGGTGCAGCTCCGCCGCCGCCGAAACCGAAACCGTCGAGGTTGAGTGGAGTGCCGGCGCCTGAGACTGTGACCGCGCTCTACGACTACGAGGCGCAAGCGGAAGGGGATCTCAGCTTTACCACAGGTGATGTCATAGAGATAATCCAAAGGACACAGAACGAGAACGAGTGGTGGACCGGAAGGGTAAACGGACGGCAAGGGCAATTCCCAGGTATGTCGTTCCTCCGGTTGCCGTCACTAGGCTGCGTTATTGAACTGACTTTTACAGGAAACTACGTTCGGCTGAATTCATAACATCTCTTCCGGCGTGCACACATTTTTACTTGCCATGAGGGCATAATCGGCGGCTTTCTAACACTCTGCATCCACATCCATCTTGTCATGCATGTTGCACGGCTCGAGCATTAGAGGCAGGTCGGCTCCACTGATAGATCAATCGGCTAACCGGGTTCTGTAAGAGGCTGTGTTGGGTGCTTACTATTCATAATCTGATGATACTCTGTATCTTCCCTCTCGTTCGCTGTTGTGAAATCACCTGGGCAGCGGCCAGCAACCTTAACCGACACGCTGGAACCCAGGCGCCAGGGCCGATCCTAGCGCAGCCACCAGCGCGGGGTGAGATCGCTGGACCCCGCATGACGACTTGGAATTTGGATGCGGGCCAGCGGGAAGAACGTTCCGAGGATTTAAAATTCTCTTGCAATTGCGGCATCCAGACTTCTTGTAGCATATCCAAACTTCAAGTCTCGACTGCCTTTATCGTATTGCGAAAGTCCACCCTGCTTCCCGCAATCTTTCCACCCCAAGCACGACCCAGGCCCAACCCTTATCATAATGCCCTACGACTCGCAAATCTCCTTTACCCTCGACACAATATGTCCCTGGTCCTTCCCTCCCATCCCTCTCGAACCACATCTCACCAATTAACCTGCACGCCCACAGGACCTACCTCGCCCGCCGCCGCCTCTCCCGCGCCCTCTCCCAAGTCCGCTCCTCCCATCCCGACAGCCCCGTGAAATTCCACATCAAGTTCTTTCCGTACCAGCTCTACCCCGAGGCCTCAAAAGAGGGCGAAGACAAGTACGAGTGGTATAAAAGGTCGGAGATTCATCAAGCAAAGTCAGCCAAGCAACCGTGGCCAATCCTTATCTTTACCTAACACGCCTTCGTTGCTGACGGAATATGCTGACGGGAGCTGTGGTGGCTAGGTCGAAGTACGGCGACTCAGACGAGAAAATGAAGATGTACATGGCGCTCATGGGCGCGTATGGGAAGGACGAGGGCATCGCGTTTAGGTTTGGCGGCACGGTGGCGAATACGTTGGATGCGCATCGCGTTATTCAGCATTTTCAGGAAGAGAAGGAGGAGGAGGTTGCGGAGAAGGTCGTGGACTGTACGTCTTGGTCCGCCCACCTACATCAGTCTCCTGCGGCTGTTGACGACCCTTGAATCAGCATTGTACAGCCAGTATTTCGAAAACGAGAAACATCCTTCGTCGGCGGAGACGCTACTCAAGGCGACGGCGGATGCGGGCATATCGGATGCGGAAGCAAGGGCTTTCATTGAAGATGAGTACGAGGGGCTTCAAGACGTTAAGATGCTGATAAGGGAACAAGCTGGCAATGGTGTTGACGCGGTGCCATATGTCGTTATTGAGGGAAAGAGGAGAGATTTTACGCTGCAGGGTGCTAAAGAGGTGGAGGAATATGTGAAGACTTTGGAGCAAGTTATAAAGGAGAGCTAGCACTGTCAATCGAATCATAGAAAGTGTTAACAGTCGCAAATACTTGTAGCCTGCGTCTTCGCAACGTGTTCAATGATGCCACCGCCGCCCTCAGTCAGGGCACTTGTTCTCGGCTCGGCTGCAAACCGGAACCCCCCTACTGTTCCATCTCAACTTGAGGTTCGTAAGGCTTTCGAAGTGTCAGTGAAGCCTTGAGTTCGAAGGGCAGTCAACACGGCTCACTTACCGGCTGTTTCGGGGGTGCATCGATCCACGCAGCCATCTGATACTGCTGGCTGTTCGCCGCAGTGAGACTGAGGTTGTAGTCCTGGTCACCTCTAAAATTGAAAAGGAAGTTCACCGGGAAGAGGGGATTGAAGGGCACAGCCTTCTGGATCGCGTCGATATCCTCTCTTGAGAGTTTGATGCGTAACGCGTCGGGCATCGCTTTGACGTGTTCGACAGTCTGGACACCAACAATAGGGAAGACGTAAGTTGATTGGTGAAACAGGTAAGCTAGAGCCTGTTGAAATGGCTGTCAGCGACCGATAACAAAGCTTCGGAGCCGACCGTGGGACATACTACAGCCTGTAGCGTTGTGCTCTTAGTCCTAGCAATCTGCTCCAACACCTCGGAAATCTTAACATCATTCTCAGTTAACCCGCGGGGTTTACGAGCTCCGGGATCCTGCTCCTTCTGCTTCCTCTGCTCGGCCGACATCAACTGACCACCGCCCAGGGCCGCCCAAGGTACAATCGCCAGCCCCTGGTCCTCGCACATGGGGATAATTTCAGCTTCCATGTCCCTGAATGCGGCGTTCCACCGGCCCTGGTAGATGGAGAAGGGCGTGAATCCGTTTTTGCGGGCGACTGTACTGCGAAATCAACACTGGCCATAAGCAGTCTGGAGAGACGGATTTACGGCGTACATTCGTTCGCTTTGACAACAACCCAAGCAGGAGTATCAGATACCCCAAGGTACAAAACTTGCCTGGCCATAACAAAGGCATGCAAATGCGTCATCACCTCTTCGACTGAAGTTGCGAAATCCCACCTAAGTTCGTCAGCGCGCGATGTGTCCCGTCTCCACCACCAAAATCATCCCGCTAAACTCACCAATGTACGTAAAGAATATCGATGTAGTCTGTCCTCAGTTTCTTCAAACTGTCTCTAACGGAGACATGCATGCTCTTCACCGAGTTCCCCGTGAAATTACTCTGCAGTGGCTCCTTCTCCCGATTGTACGCCCGATAGCCGGCCGAGTACTTTGTCGCGATAACCATCTGATCCCGGTTTTCACGCTTCTCCATCCATTCGCCGATAAGCCTTTCCGAATCCTCGGAATTGTAAGTGTTGGATGTGTCGATGAAGTTGCCGCCGAGGGAGAAGTAGCTGTCGAGAAGGGCGAAGGGGTCTTCATTCTGGCCAAAGAGCTCGCTCCATGAGCTGCCGATGCTTATGCCGCCCAAGACTATCGGGGAGACTTTGACGGCTGCTGTGGGGGACAGGATGCGGTGGTAGCCCAGAGGTGTCTGCGGCTTGGGAGGGGGAGCGAAGAATGACATTGTGATGGCTACAACACCTTACGACCTTTCTGCATGGAATCCAAAGCGAAAGCAGAGGCCAAATAAATAAGACTAAGAAGAGGGAAAGTTTCGAAGGTGCACCCACGTAGGTAAATATAACGGTAGGTAGTGGAGTGACGATCTCTGCCAATATCGGCGCACGCGCCTGTCACCAGGTTGCATGAACCTATCCGTGCTATTCACTGCGGCTCTCGGGATCTCACCCAGAAAATCGCACTTCACACATGGAATCCTTGTAATCCGGCTCCTCATCCCCATCCCTCTCCCACACATACTCCTCTGCCGTAACCTCCCTTCCCCCGCACCGTCCTGCAAAACGCCGCCACTAGATACACTATATAGCTCCTGTCGCTTTGTACTTCCAGGAGCACCCATCGCGCTTTCAGGGATTGATCATAGTTAGGAGCAGATCATAGGGCGACGACAATTACCCTAGTCTAGCGCTGCATCGGCAGCTGCAACTTGCTGACATGCCAAGCATGCAACGGGACAGCCCGCCCCTGCTGCGCAACGATGCGACGATCTCGCTGGACAAAGCGTCGTGCTCTGCTACATCCGGCTGACAGGTACCCGGCCCGCCTGGAAATGTCGAACTCGTGTACCCTAAGCACCAAGACTCTAGATTACCTATCTGAATACTATATATTGTTACTCTCAACAGCAGAGCTTTTCAGTAATTGCTTCTAGTGACATTCCGCTTACGATTCCGCTTCTCCGCAGCATATTTAGAAACTACACTCTATATTATATACTATTTCCAAGTCGAATTATAAACATAGAAAGAATTCGAATAATTCTTAGTTTGTATTCCAAAATATTAGACTCTACTAATGTATCTAAAAACTTTAGACTAAAGTGAACTTATCTAAGCTATCTTTTACGATAGACTATATATAGAAACTCTTTAGATACTTAGAAAATTAGTATATTATAATTCTAAGCTTTTCCTAGAATATTATTCCTAAGAAAAGATAGTTCCTAGAAAAAGTAATTTTTAGAAAAATATATTATATAGATATATCTACTAAAAAGAGCTATATTAGAAAGATTATATAATATAGGTAATTCTAGGGTGAAAGTCTATATTAAGAATACTATATTATTAAAGTATACTAGATTATAACGCGCTGCTATCTCTAGATAATAATAGTAGATACTAGAGTATAGTATAATACTAATTAAAGTATTAGGAGATAGAGTAAGATATAATAATAATAGATTAATATTACTTAGTAATAATTAGATTTATTATAAGAATATAAGATTCTTATATTAAGTTAAGTATAAGGTTTCTATAAGAGAAACTCTTACTATCTATATACTTAAACTATACCTATAGTCCCTATTATCTCTATTATTTACTCTTTTTAGGAATATTATAGATAGTAGTGCTAGTATTCTCTATTATTTCTATTATCTACTATTATTAGAGATAGTGCGGATAATAGAGATAGGCTTAGTAACTCTACTAGCCCTAAATAAACCCTATACCGAGCGCTATTTTATAATATAGGCATATCTATTTCATACTAAATCTATTATAAACCCTTATAGGGTAGACCGCGATTAATACGGTTGCAATATAGCATAACTAGGTATAGTAGATAGATATAGCCTATAAGCTATACAGAGTTACCTATAAGCAATTATATTAGAATAGCCTAGAATAGGCTTAGTGGGTGTAGAATAAAGTATTCTACTCTAGCTTACCTTAGAGGGTAGTGGTTCGTGCTATTTTAGAATAATAAGCTATATCTACTAGTATTCTTAGCCTACCTAGTCCCCTCTTTTTAATATACAAACCCCTACCCTAAGATACTATAAGGCTACTAGTAAGATAGCTATACTAAAAGTCTCTTAAGACCGCTAATTAATAATAGACTTCTAGAAAACTTCTATAGATATAAGTAGAATATTACTAGAGAAGTAAAGAGCTAGAGTATTTAATATAATTATCTTAACTCTACCTTCTGGATATTCTAAACCTAAATTAGGCTAGAAAGTAAAGAAATTAGACTATTAGATCTAGAGAGCTTAAATAGAGATTAAGGTATAGAAGAAGAAGGTAAAACTTAAGCACCTATAAAAGGTGCTTATAGGGAGAATCCCCTTAAATATAGTGCTAAAAGAGTCTATAGCTCTATTAGAGCTATATATACTTATTCTAGTTTATACTATTCTAAATCTAAGCACACCGCTATAGATAGTACTACTATAGAAGATATATACTATATAGCTACTACGCCTAGAATACCTACTAAAGTTTAAGAGTAAAAGTAGGTAGTAATAGAATCTTTAGATCTAAGTATATAAACGCTATATCTTATACTCTATAAGCTTCCTAATAGAGAAGACTAAGATAGTATTTATAAAATAATATCTAGGTCCCGCTTAATACGAGACCTAAAAGTATTATAAGGCCGCTTTAGGTCTTTTTAAAATAATCTAGATAGTATTAAAAACCTATATACTAGATTTAATAGGTAATACCTATAAAAGAGAGTAAAGGGCAATCTTATAGATTAAGCACGTAAAATAAGCCTATTAAGACCTAATAATCCTCTTGAATTACCTAAAGCTCTAATAGGCTAATTATAGCAAGAAAAACCTCGCTATAGACTATAATAGAAGGTATATTAATAACTTCTTCTTAGCTCTAAACCTAGAGCTATAGAAGAGGTTAACCCTACTTAGGCACTAGTATATCTTCCTTATAGACTTAGAGGTAGATATAAATTAATAGTATTAATAGATTAAAATCTATACTAGCGTAGATTAGTCTAAAACTAACTAAAGTAAGATAGTAGAGGCTATACTAGGCGTGCCTACCTCTAGTAACTTAAAGTAGTAGGGTAAATAAAAGTAAGAAATAGAAAGGTCTAAGGACACCTAAAGGTTAAAGTTAGGCTAGTAAAAAAGAGAGAGCTAAAAAAAGAACTTCTTAAAGGAAGCCTATTAGAATTATAATAAGATTAAGCACTAGAAGAAAGACTATAGGTAAAAGTTCTAAGAGTTAAAAGCCTAGGCTCTAGATAGCTAGCTCTATATCTAGCTAGCTAAGTCTTATATACTCTAAAATAGTAAAAAAGGGCGGAGCTTTTAATAGCCTAAGAGGAGCTAGGCAGCCGCCTTATATTAGTGCTAATTTAAATATATAGTAGGCAAGAAGGCTAGACCGCTAGAGTTCTTATTAATAAAGGAGCGGAAGGTAATTTTATAATCTATATACTAGTAAAGAAGTGCGGTATTAGGGTCGACTATATATAGATCTAGGACTTTAAGACCCTTAATAGGTAGCTTTTATAAATTCTAGGGACATGCGAGGCGCCCTATACTATTAAGAACTAGAAAGAATTAAAATAAAGTAGAATACACACGTTTATTATAGGCGATATTATTAGGTTTAATATTATTCTTAGTATACCTTAACTAGAGGTCTTGAATCTATATATAGACTATTAAAGGAAGACACTTAGCTTTAAGAGGAGCTTAAGATAGTGAAACTAGCCTAATATTAAGATTAATAGGCTATGCTAGTTCTATATATACTTATAAGATAATATCTCTAATATATATACCCTATACGTATCTAGAGTGGACTAGAAAGGCCTAAATTAAGGTATTTAATTCCTATCTAAATATATAGACTATAATAATATCTTCTTAGTAGAAGATACGGCGATACTACTAGAGTATAGACTATATAAGCTAAGAATCGATCTAGAAGAGGGTAAATAGCCCTCTTTTAAGCCTCTATACACTCTTTCTAAGGTAGAGATCCTAGTGCTAAAAAATTATATTAAAAAGCACTTAGTAAGAAGGTGGATATAACTCTCTACCTCGCCTACTAGAGCACTAATTCTATTTATATATAAAAAAAATTAGTAGGTTACGCCTTTATATAGACTATTAGAGTTTAAATATAGTAATAATTAAGAACTATCACTCTTTACCTCTAATCTAAGAGTCTTTAGATTATCTAGGCTAGGTAAAGATATTTTTAAAGCTCGATCTAAGAGATACCTACTACTATATCTAGATTCGGTCTAGAGATAAGTGGAAAATAGTATTTTAGACTAGATATAGCTATTATAAGTACTAGATAGTTCTATTTAGACTTACTAATATACTAGTAGTATTTTAAAGTTATATTAACACTATACTAGCGGATCTATTAGATATATACTATATTATCTATTTAGATAATATTCTTATCTTCTCTAACTTAAAAGAAGAATATTAAAAATATATTAAAATAGCCCTAAAAAGGCTCTAGAGGTATATATTATACGCGAATATTATAAAATACAATTTCTATAAGAATTAAGTAGGATTTCTTAAGTTCCTTATTACTTTAACTAGTATAGAGGTAAAATCGGACTAAGTAAAAACTATTTAAAAGTAGCTAAAGCTATACTCGGTAAAAGATATATATATCTTTATTAGCTTTATAAACTATTATCACCGATTTATAAAGGGATTCTCTAAGATTACTACACCCCTATATAAGCTAACTAAAAGAGGCCCGGAAGTAGCTAAAGGAGGTTATTTATAAAGAAAGAAGGAGTTAGTATCCTTAAAGCTAGATAAGCGCGTAGTATAGGTATTTAAAGATCTAAAGGTATAATTTTTAAGAGCTTCTATACTAGTCTACTTCTAACTATCCCTAATAATATTAGCTAAGACGGATGCTTCTAAATATATAATCTTAGGTATTCTAAGTTAAAAACACCTAGATTTATCTAGAAAGTAGTAATAGTATTTAATTGTATACTATTTATATAAAATATTACTAATAGAGTATAACTACAACACTTATAATAGTAAGTTACTCGTAATAGTAGCTATATTTAAATACTAGCGCTACTATCTAGAGGGGCTACAGTAGACTATAGAGGTACTATTTAACTACACTAACCTCTAGACCTTTATAACTATAAAGAAACTATTCTAGAGGTAAGTAAAATAGGTAAAATAGC